AAAAACTCTCATCTCTTTTCATTATTCCATCATTTACACAAACTAGCCGTTCATCTGTTTATGAAAACAGAAGGCGTTGGGTTTGTGCGCGTTTGCATATGATCACATGCACAAATGTGAGTCGACTTTCCAGCGGCCTCCCCGACAAACCACTACCAAATGTTTCGAGCGGCACGTCGTAAATATTCACGGGAATTTGATAGCGTTCGTTTCAAAGTGGCGTCCCCTCTTCAGTTAATGAAAGCTACAAATTGAAACCCTCAAAGTCAATGCAAATGCCATCTTGCATCCAAATTGAGTTCTAATATCCTTGAAAATTGGACGGAGAGATTGAGGATAAGCAGCAAAATGGAAAAAGAGGCAAACAAAGAGGAGAAAAAAACATTTGTCTTATTACCAACTGCCTTGCGATGAAGCTTTGAAGAGCTGCTTTTAAATGTGTGATACATATAATCATGTCCTAAAGTGAGGCGGATGAATTATGTATTTTTCCGAACCATTCGACATGGCACAACCTTGAGATTTACATTTTATCGTCAAGGACGTTCTGCTACTTTTGACAAACGTCCCGTCCCTTCCTGGTTTCCCCACAAAACCCTCACTGAATCCATTGTTAGCATTTATCCTTAAAATCAGCATGACGTGGACGGATTTGATGAACGCGGCCTTTCATGCGCGGGAGATGTGTGATGAGTCAGCCGCAGTCTGAATGGAGCTTCAGCTAATGGAGTTTCATTGGAGCTCAACTTCAGATCTCAACACATTACAGCAGATTCCACATTTACAATCCTGCATCTGCTCACGCCGATGTTCCTTACACAAATCTACCACGGCACCAAGTCTAAAGCACCATGGTAGTACCATGTGGTAGCTTACTTTTTGAAGTGTATGAATGTGGTTGACTTACAAAAAAAGTTCCAGAAAGTACAGTTGAACTATCGTGGTATTTTGGTAGAGTATGCCATGGTATTACTATGGTGTTTTTTGTAAGTACCATACTATAGTATTACTGTAGTATTTTGGACTTATACCATGTATAGCATGGTATTACCATGGTATTTTTGACCTGTACCATGTTATTAATGTGATATTTTGGACATATATCATGGTATTATAGTGGTATTTTAGATGCATATCATAGGATTCCCTATTTCTGACATGTACCGTGGTATTACTGTGGTGTTTTGGGCATTTACCATGGTACTACTATCTCAGACATGTACCATGGAGTTTTGAACATGTATATTGGTATTACCATGGAATTTTTATGTGTACCACGGTATTATGGGAGTAATTTGGACATATGCCATGTATACTATGGTATTTTGGACATATATAATGGTATTACTGGGGTATTTTGAAGGTATGCCATGGTATAATTGTGGCATTTTGGATGTATACCATGCATAGCATGGTATTACAGTGGTATTTTGAGCATTTACCATGGTACTACTGTAGTATTTTGAACATGTACAATGGTATTACCGTGTTTTTGTTTGTTTATTTGCTTGTATTTTTTTGTGTACCATTGTATTACGTTTTTATTTTGGACATATTCCAAGTATAGCATGGTATTACCGTGGTAGTTTGGGCATTTACCATAATTGTATTAACATGGTATTTTTGTGTACCATGGTATTACAGTGTTATTTTTGGCTTACACCAAAATGTGGTAGTTTGGACATTTACCATGGTATTTTTAGATGTATTACCTGTTGGACACACATGCCTTGGTATTACCATGGTATTTTTGATATGTACTGGTGTATGGCTGTGGTATTTTAGACATATACAGTGGTGTTACCATAGTATTTTTGATATGTACTGGTGTATGGCTGTGGTATTTTAGACATATACAGTGGTGTTACCATAGTATTTTTGATATGTACTGGTGTATGGCTGTGGTATTTTAGACATATACAGTGGTATTACCATAGTATTTTAGATGTGTACCATAGTATTACTGTGGTGTTTTGGACATTTATATAGTACTACGGTAGTATTTTGGACGTGTAACATGGTATTACTGTGGTATTGGATGTGTATTTTGGTAGCACCATGGTGTTTTTGCACATGGACCTTGAAGTATCATGTAAATACCATGACACGCGAATTTCATGGTAGCACCACAGTATGTTTTTGCAAGGTTTAGCACAGTAAATATGACAGTATTACCATCGGGCATGATGGGTTTTGTCGTGAGGTGTTATTTATTCCTCCAGCTTTGACTCTGGGTGTTTGTGTGATTTCTCCAGCGCTGTATCTGCTGACACTGGAGCGTATCTGTGGAGCTTCATCTCATCTCACATTTAAAGAGTTGAATGTGTAATTCTTGCCGGAGGAGAATTCTCCTGAGGACCCGACGACAGTCTCTCTTCACACAATAGCCGCTCGCCCCACTGTTTACAACACACAATTTAGTTTCCTTCCAACAATTATGAGGGAAACTGAATCTCAGGAAATGTTCATTTTCACATCCATTAGAGCGGACAATAACAGGGGAGGCCCCGGAGCCTGCAAAGACATCTGTCTTCAAAGGGCTGCAGAACTATGGAAGATTAATATCCAGCCGCCGCAGCGCGACCGTGTGTCCGAGCAAATCACATCGCAGAACGTTTACTGTGAGATCTGGATGCCGAAAGACGAATATCTCAGCTGTGTCTTCAACCAAACATGAGGACAATTCTTCAGTCACATTGTTCTCACATTGAAAAAGAGAACTGCAACTGTGCTCAAAAACAGCACTTTTGGAGAAATCCGATGCTTACAGTACATGAAACGTAAACTAAATTAACCCTGTAAAGCCTGAAATCTGAAATAATAGTATTTTGGACATGTTCCATGTATAGCGTGGTATTCCCATGATATTTCTGACCTGTACCATGGTATTACTGTGGTATTTTGGGCATTTACCATGGTACTACAACTTTGGACGTGTGCATTGGTATTACCATGGAACTTTTGTGTGTACCATAGTATTAAGGGGTGATTTGGATGTATACCATGCATACCGTGGTATTACTGTCGTATTTTGGACATATACCATGTAAAGCGTGGTATTCCCATAGTATTTCTGACATGAGTTATTTTGGGCATTTACCATGGTACTACCATAGTATTTTGAACATTGCCATGCTATGTTGTACTTATACCATGAATACCATTGTATTACCATGGTAATTTGGACATTTACCATGGTATTTTGATGTGTACCATGGTATTACTGTGGTATTTTATACTAGAAATTTAGATTTTTTTTAGACAAACTTTACACAGAGTTTAAAAGAAAATATATTTTAAAAGATTGTATGTGTTTTTGTTTAAAATCATATTCGATACGTCAGACTTTTATGGCTAATATAGTGTGATATAGCGAGAATATCGAGGCAAAAACAGCAATTTTATTCAGAGGCCCGAATTGAGTAAAAATCTGCAATTTGGTGCAGATGCTGATATTTATATGGACAACAAGACTGAAATTCAGATCACTTGTAATGTAAATCAATCTTTATAACAGTACAAATGCATATAAATATCAGTGGTCACTTTATATCTCCAATAATATGTCTTAGTAAGATGAGATTGAAATGATCTAATGCAATGCTGATTGAGAGATGAAGAAATAAGTCAGTCAAGATTTGAGAGCAAAAAGACACGTGAAGCTGAAGCTGGACGCCTGTACAATTACACTAAAAGAGCTTTTACTGATAAAACAAAAAAGCTCAGAGAGAAGGCATGCAGCAGATTGAGTGCGATAGGTTCATCAGCATCATGTTGATCATTTAGAGCATCATATAGTCTTGTTAATGTTCTTCTGAGTGAGTGTAGTCTCTTTCTTAAAACATCGTTTAGCGTTTTAGCCTTGTGGAGACACTCAGACGGCTGATATATTTGGGAGAACTTTGTGATTTGAGTAATGTACGGTGGCAAGGTCCCACAATCCATGTCTCTCTCTCCTTCTCCACGGCTGCGTATTTGCTAAAAGTATTTGTTTGCAAGATAAATGGCCGTTCTCCAGGCGAAGATGACAGGCAACACAAAGATGATATTGAATTGATTTCTGAAATGTTGCAGAACTGACTGTTTGATGTATACGGGCAGACATGAATCATAAAAATTCTATTAAAAAAGCTCTTGAATGGTTGACAGCGGAATATTATTTCTGATGATTAATTTGACTCAGTCATTATGGACGGGGCTCCAGTCAGATCGCCTCCTACAAAATTGCGTTTCATTCCCTCTTGAATACCCCGGCAATCTCTCTCTCTCTCCCTCTCTCTCTCTTTTTCCTTTTCCTGAATTTAACGTCAGACGCTTCCTCCGTCAGGTCCAAAGTTAGATCGACGTGGCTGATGAGAGGCACGAGCGCAGGGAAAACACCAGAGCCAATCGCAAACTTTAGCGCTATGAAAACATGGTCTGCGCTTCCAAAAGTTGATCGTGATAATGACGTATTTCCAGCAACTTTCTGTGATTCCAGAGCCAGATCGGAAGCTGCCAACTGATACACATCCAAAAAAAGTGATTCTTACTTGTTTAACTGCATAATATTTATATAGTTGTGTTTATGTCTCTCTCCACAAAGTAATTAGGCAATCATCACATCTACTATCGCTCATACGTACAGAAGGGTTTGGGATTGATCAGACAAAAACAAAATGGTTTTTGATTCGAAATGTTATTTTTTTATTTATTTTATTTTATATTTTATTTCATTTAAATAATTGTATTTTATTTATTGTATTTGAACATGTTCTTTTACCGTAATTTACCTAAACATAAGTTGCATTTTAATTTAATTTATTTTATTTTATTTATTGTATTTAAATATAAGTATTAATTTAATTTAATTATTGTTTTTTTATTTTATTTTAACATACATTTTATATTTATTGTATTTGAACAAAATTTATTTTATTTTATTTCAACATAAGCTTATTTATTTTATTTATTGTATTTTAAATATGAGTATTATTTATTTATTTTCAACATAGCCCCTGATGGACCCCGAGTCCGGCTACCTGTGTCCCTCCATCCCTCACAACGGCCTGATCAACCCGTACTCGTACCCCGAGCTGCCCGCCCTCATGATGTCCAACATGCTCGCCCAGGACGGGCACCTGCTATCCAGCCACATGCCCTCGGTGAGTCCCGCGCTTCTGCCCTACATAGACAGCACTGTCAGGCTTCATAGCTGCGCTCCCGACACCAAGACTGCTACAAACTTATATGTGGCCTTATAACACAGCAGCAGGTTGTGGATGAGCCAATCCCTGAATGCACTGCAATGAGCTGAAGATCTAAGATAGCAGATGAAGTCGAGGGAAGTGTCTAATTATGAATATTATTTTATTCCTTACTGAAAATTTGTAATAAAAATAGGCGTTTAATTGAAATCTTGCATACAATATTTGTGTATGCACAATGCATTTTTATAAAACAGTAGCATTTGTGTGTCTATTTTCTATTTTCTTGTCTATTCGTGTGTAAAGTACTCTCTGTTAACTGGAATTGGGAAAAAGCAAAATATCCAAAACGGTTGGCCAACCTCAAATTTAGCTTAAATTTATAATGTACATAGTTATTTATATTTTAAATAAATATGTATTTTTATTTCTTATTATTTATTTTTATTAGAAATAAATATTACATTTATTATTATATTATTAAAATATAAAATCTAATTATTATATATATTTGTATATATTTACAGTAAAAACTACTGATTAAGAATATCGTTTTTAGTCTGTATTTTCTCATAGTTTCTTGAAACAAAAAATAAATAAATAAATAAATAACCCGGCTGGCTATATGCATATGCAACTGATAAGCAGATGAGGTGTTGCATGATTAAAAATGGATTGTATGCTCCATATATGCTCTTGCATGTGCGTCTTCGGTTTACTGTGATTTCTGAAGTGATGAAGTCTTTGGGTGTATGTAGGGATGTATACATCTCAAAACGTTTGTGCGCATGTGATGACGTGATTGGTTGTTTTAGTTGATTGGCAGGACTGTATGGTGTGATTGTATGTGTTTCTATGAGTGGCAGGTCTCTGTTTCAGTGGCACAGAATGAATAGATGAATGAAGCGATAGCTGCTTTCTGACCCACAGACGACTGATCATCTAAACATCATCACGACTAACTGACCACATCAGGCCTTCGTCTCGACTAACCATTCCCTAATTGCGTTGTGAGACAGAGAGATGATGTCCGTCTGTGTCAGCAGTGATTTGTGGGTAAATTCATCAGCGGTGTTTCTCTCTGTCAGTCCATTCCTCTCTGCACCTCCTCCTCCTCCTCATATCCAGAGCTCATTACTTTGTGTTTTGTTGCTTAACACAGACTCTGAGAGCTATAAAGAAATATCAGGAGTGTCGTCAAATCTGCCATCTGTGGAAACTCCCTCATAAAGCAGAGAAATCCACAGAACGACTCAGAAACGCTGGGAAAACACTGAGGAATTCATCTTTAGGGGTGAATCTCACTCTTTAAGAGTGCAAAATAGATCTTATTTCTTACTAGTGGTTTTGGATTGAAATGTTAATTGAAATCAGTCTGAATTAAAAAAAAAAAACATTACACTATTTTTCAAAGTTGAGTAAAAGAAAGATTGAACTGAACTGAAAAAAATGAACTGAAAAAATGAAATAAAAATTTTTTAGTTGAAATACTAAAATTACTAAAACTGAAATAAAAATAAAATTAAAGCTAAACAGAAATATTTTTTAAAAATAAAAATGACAAAAGTGTGTAATTAAATTACTAAAACTAGCTAAAATTGAAAAAAGCTATTTCAAAATACTAATAAATGTATAATAATACTATACTACTAAAATAATATTGAGGAAATCTTCTTTAATGCGGATTTCACTCTTTAAGTGCAGAATAGAATTGTATTTAACTATAACAAGTACTACTGTAAGTACAAAAGTGCTAAAACTGAAATATTAAATAAAATTGAAGCTAAATGCAAGCTAAAAAATGACAAAAACATGTAAAAAAAAAACTGAACTGAAATAAAAAATAAAAGCTAATTCAAAATATGAATAAATATTATATTAGTTTAATTCTAAAATAACTTCTAAATTCTTATTTAATGGTGAATTGCATTTTTTAAGAATGCAAAATAGAATTATATTTAACTATTCAGTAAATAGTTTTAGTACTATTTAAGTACTAAAATTGCTACAATTGAAAAAATAAAAATAAATATTAAAAATAAATATTAAAAATGAAAAAAAAAATTTAAATCTTAATTAAAAATACATTAAAGCTAAATAAATATATATATAAAAAAGACTGATCTGACAAAATTATTAAAACTTTAATACAAAATGTTTTAAAAATTAATGTTAATTCAAAATATTAATAAATATTATGCTACTATAATACTGAAATAACAGTAGAAAGATTTTGTGAGATTTACCTCTTTTAAACAAATTTTGTGCCTTTTGATTGTAAAACTTTGATTGTGAAACTGGAATTCGATGCATCAGCAGGACAGAATTTAAATTCAACTCAACTCTGGTCATTCTTCTAATGACTCTCTACAAAAGAAGCCACTTGAAATGGACATCAGGCAGCAGCACAAAATGGATGACAGCGGTTCTGCAGCCATATGAATCTATGCATGCAATTTCTTGAGCTACCAGAACGCATTAAATCAACCATTCTTTCATTTCGAGATCCCATTTCTATATTGACACCCATCGAGCGGGTGAATAGAGTGTGCTAGTCAATAATACTTCACTAAATGACACCGTACGTTCAACGTGATGGACTGCCATTTTATTCCCATTTCTTCCCCAAGCAACCTTCTTTAACCATGTAGCGATTATGCTCTGCAGTATTTGTGCTGTAAATTTCAGGGTTTTTTTGGTTGAGGCATTCGTCAGGGTTTATATGCCCACAATAACAATGATAAAACCAATCATTTTTGGAAAGCTATATGCTCTGTGAGCTGTATAAATGGGAAATATGTATTGTGCCCTATTCATTGCGATGCTGATAACATTCCACGCTTTACTTTGACCTTTTATGACCTTTGCCTCAATCTGAGTTTGATGAAATGAAATTGTAGATTGCAGATTTTGTCTTGTTCGGTAGATCGATGGCATTCAAACGCTCTGCACAAGTACGGGTTGCTTTATCAGTGGTGCCACAAAGAGTGCCATGTACAGTGGGTACGGAAAGTATTCAGACCCCTTTAAATTTTTCACTCTTTGTTATATTGCAGCCATTTGCTAAAATCATTTAAGTTAATTTGTTTTCCTCATTAATGTACACACAGCACCCCATATTGACAGAAAAACACAGAATTGTTGACATTTTTGCAGATTTATTAAAAAAAAAAAACTGAAATATCACATGCTCAGTATTTAGAGTAGAAGCACCCTTTTGATCTAATACAGCCATGAGTCTTTTTGGGAAAGATACAACAAGTTTTTCACATGTTCTGTTCTGCTCTGCGTTCTGTTCTGTGTTCTGTTCTGTTCTGTGTTCTGTGTTCTGTTCTGTTCTGTGTTCTGTTCTGCTCTGCTCTGTTCTGTTCTGTTCTGCTCTGCTCTGTGTTCTGTTATGTTCTGTATTCTGTGTCCTGTGTTCTGTGTTCTGTGTTCTGCTCTGTGTTCCGTTCTGTGTTCTGTTCTGCTCTGTGTTCTGCTCTGTGTTCTGTTCTGTTCTGTGTTCTGTGTTCTGTGTTCTGTTCTGCTCTGCTCTGCTCTTTTCTGTTCTGCTCTGTGTTCTGTGTTCTGTGTTCTGTTTTGTGTTCTGTTCTGTTCTGTGTTCTGCTCTGCTCTGCTCTGCTCTTTTCTGTTCTGTTCTGTTCTGTTCTGCTCTGTGTTCTGTTCTGTGTTCTGTTCTGTTCCATTCTGTGTTCCATTCTGCTCCGCTCTGCTCTTTTCTGTTCTGTGTTCTGTTCTGTTCCGCTCTTTTCCGTTCTGTGTTCTGTTCTGTGTTCTGTTCTGTTCTGTTCTGTTCTGCTCTGTGTCCTGTGTTCTGTTCTGTTCTGTTCTGTTCTGTTCCGTTCTGTGTTCTGTTCTGCTCTGTGTTCTGTTGTGTTCTGTTCTGTTCTGTGTTCTGTTCTGTTCTGTTATGCTCTGTGTTCTGTTCTGTTCTGTTTTCTGTTCTGTTCTGTTCTGTTCTGTTCTGCTCTGTGTTCTGTTCTGTTCTGTTCTGTTCTGTTCTGTTCCGTTCTGTGTTCTGTTCTGCTCTGTGTTCTGTTGTGTTCTGTTCTGTTCTGTGTTCTGTTCTGTTCTGTTATGCTCTGTGTTCTGTTCTGTTCTGTTCTGCTCTGTGTTCTGTTCTGTTCTGTTCTGCTCTGTGTTCTGTTCTGTTCTGTTCTGTTTTGCTGTGTGTTCTGTTCTGTTCTGCTCTGTGTTCTGTTCGGTTCTGTTCTGCTCTGTGTTCTGTTTCTTCTGTTCTTTTCTGTTCTGTTCTGTTCTGTTCTGTTCTGTTCTGTTCTGCTCTGCTCTGTGTTCTGTTCCATGTTCTGTTCTGTTTGTTTTTTTCTGTTCTGTTTTGTTCTGTTGTTTTTGTGTTCTGTTCTGTTCTGTTCTGTTTTCTTTTCTTTTCTTTTCTGTTTTGTTCTGTTGTTTTTGTGTTCTGTTCTGTTCTGTGTTCTGTTCTGTTTTGTGGTCTATTCTGTTATGTTTTTTTGTTTTGTGTTCGATTTTGTTTTTTTGCTTTGTTCTGTTTTGTTTTTGGATTGGTTTGGTTTTGTGTGTTGTTTTGTGTTCTGTTCTGAGTTGATTTGCATTCAGTTTTGTTTTCTGATCTGTCCTGATTTTTTTGTGTTCGGTTTTGTTTTTTGTTTTGTGTTTCGTTTTGTGTTCAGTTATTTGTTCTGTTTTGTTTTTTTATTTTGTTTTGTTTTGTTTTCTTATTCAGATTTTTGTTTAGTCTCTTCTGTTCTGTTCTGTTTGACATCTGCAACATTGACAGGACTGTTTGTTTGTCTGACCAATTTGAATACAGTGAAATAACATTTATGTACATTTGAAATCTCTTATGTTTGCCAAAAACCCATCCATGTAGTGTGTTTATATCCGCAAAATTCAAAGCAAACAGCACTGGTCCGTTTTGGTTAGTCCTGTTGTGGTGTTGTTTAGTAGACGTGTATTTGCGGTTCTGTCCAAGC